TTGAATTTTTATTATGTTTATAAATTTATTAAGCTTTTCCGCATATTGAAACAAAATCGAATTTTAAACACTGGTAACAAGCTTTCGGCTCTTGCTGCAGCGCAACTGGGGTTAAGATAAGTACTGTCTTATTTTATTCTTAAATTACTATAGTAAGGGTCAATTCAATATTAATATAATATATTTTCTCTTTCAATGCTAATGCGACAGGGTTCAAAGGTTAACTCATGCGTTAAGATACTTAACAGTGTCACATTATACGTGGTTGAATTCTATTATTTGATGATAATACAGTTAAAAGTTTAGCCAATTTGTTGTTATATAGCGATAGGGGATCTAATTAATCGTAACTCTTTCTTACTATTACTCAACGTAAGATGCCAATAAATACGGGAACAAGAAAATATGAAAGACGATGTGTTACGAATTTGTGGTTCAAGAGGAATAACTACTTGGAGTCAACACTCTTATTCTATGATTTCGAAGTTCGAAACTCAATAGAGTTAGTTGTTTATTGAAACGAAAAGTGGGTCTTATATACTTTCTTACAATCATTAGTACATTAGTACATAATTACTATGTTCGCTATATTAACTATTTTAACTATGTTTTACATGTTCGCATGATCGCTATGTTTACCATGTCACTGTCTGCACTGTCAACTATGTACATTATGTACGCAGTAATTCTATCCATGGTAATTATCATTTTCCATTTACTGTATCTGGGTGCTAACGAACGACATACTAACTATGTTGAGCTTTACTAATGGGAAAATTAATAATAATAACAAGATGATGGGATCGAAGCCCCGGAGCCTTTCATAACGTACGTCACCAAGCAGCTGATAAATTTCAGCGATTAAAGAGAAATGCGTATTTTTTTTATTTGGGAAGGAAGGATAATTCCTGCCTGACTGTTGTGAGACAGCTTTCGTGAGAATTCTGGCTGCTCGGAGAATGACTGGGGTTTAATAGGAGAATTACTGTTTTTGGATACTGGTAACCACTCCAGGTATTCTGGACTCAGGCGTCCTTACTAGAGATGCATCGGTTTAGTCGATCCGTCCCGGTTCGGTCCTCGGCTCCAAAATAGCTTTTATTGGATAAAAGGACCGTTCCATCGGTCCCGGCTAGTGATGGGAAATGTGAATTTTCGAAATCATGCATATGAATGCCGGTTTCAGACCGGCCCAGGAACGGCCCCAATGCAACTCTGGTTAAACTTTGTGGATAATAAAATCTATTGATTTTTATTATTGCAAAGGGATAACTCCTAGTTGAATCTCTGGAGAATCACTGGTAGATGGTCGAGGTAGGAGAACTACTGCGTTTGGATCCTGGTAACCACTCCAGGTGCTCTGGATTCAGATGTCCTACTTTGTTGTTAATAAGGGACTACTGATTCTGGAGAAGGAATCAGCTTTGCATATCCTTATTCCACGTAAAAACTGCATTCTTTGCAGAAACCTTCGATTTTGCTAAATATGTTTATAATATTGCTACAATATAATTCCAATATTACGAGAGCTATTATATAATAAATATATGTTAATTATATGTTAAAAATAATAATAATATTTTTTAAAAATATTTTTAATATTCTGTTAAATCACTTTTAATTTGATGTATATTATATATTTGTAATATAATTACAATATAGTTTTAATATTAGAATTATCTTTTTATTATCTAATAGTAATCTAATAAAATAATATTTTAATAATATAATGGCAATCTGTTTAAAATAATTAAATAACATTGCCAATATCTTAGCGAGCTTATATATTCAATAAGATGATAACAAGCTAATTAATAGTAATTTAACAGAATAAAAAATACTTTAGCAAAAATCAAAGGTTTCTGTAAAGTAGATATAAGAATTTTGGCATGGGCACAGGTATTGGCACAAAACTTTGGCATGAATAAAATTTGGCATAGGTATAAGCACAAGCACAAAAATCCAATATTTTGTGTTTAGCACTTTTGTGTTACGTCTTTAATAGTGCCTGGTACTTTTGTGCCCATAGATGCATGAATGTAAGGCATATTCATACTTACAGTATAATAATGTCTGGCACTTTTATGTTCATAAGCGCACACATAGGCATGAAGCACATTGCCTGGCCTGGTACCAATATGCACAGCATGGATATTTGCAGAACCCACTACTCTCTGAAGATATCTAGGATTAAGTGAGAAAATTAGAAGATCAATAGCTAACGCAGGATATGAAATTATTTGTTTTATGAGTTTAAACAATTTTATCTGCATTTAGGTTTTTGCTTTCAAATTCTGAAATTAATTTCAATATGATTCTATATAGAAATTTAAATAGCTCTTAGATTTATTTATTATTAGACTCATCTTTTGAAAATTTGATATTCTTGTTAAAATTTATAAGCCCGCATTATGGTAAAATTGGCCCAGGAACAATTTTCACTTAATGGCGACTATGATTTCATTAGTAAAATTATGAGTAATTCCGGCGGCAGCTATGGTTAATAAAAATGCGTGGCAGATCCTCGATTTTGATTTATTTTTGTAATGAAAAATCAGAAAGTTAATTCCGGCTGGAAATTAGTAAACAATTATGTAATGCGGGCCAAAATTTTGAAGATCCTCAGCTATTAGCAATCAAAACCTTGTGCGGCATCTAGGTTCAATCATATGCTGTGCAGTAAAATAATGTGTAGCTAATTTCTAAACTAATCAAAAGAAATATTCTATGTTTGGTATATGCTGATTATATTTATATTTTTTTTAGATTTCAGTGAAAGAAAATATTCCTCCTCCATTAATTTGCGGCAATTGTAATAAAGTATTGTAAACAAACTCACAAATCATACTCATGTGTTAAAGAAATAAGAAAATAACTAACTATATTTTTTAAACAGTTATTACTGCAGAACTTGATATTATTAAATTTTGGAAAGAGCTTCCGAATGCAAAAATAGCATTTTCACTACCAGAAGAATCAGATTTAGAAGACTTAAAACATTATTCTATAATTGAAAATAATCAAGTCTATTTACTGTAAAACAAGGAATAGTTTTAATTTGGATAGTAGATTACCGTATTTTCGCGGAATAATGCCCATGAGCGTTATTTCGAATTTTGGCCCGAATTAAGCTTAATTTAGGCCAAATTTCGAAATTACACCCCTGCACGTTATTCCACGAAAATACAGTATATATTAATGAACATTCTAATATACAATTACCAAACAAATTAATAGACAATTTCGGAGGAATGCTATGCCTTCCAGACAATATATATTTTTTTTGGGGGTGATGAAATTTATGATCTAAGCTTTTTATACGCAGGTGTTTGTTTACCTGCAGCTACTTAATACAATCAATGAAAGTCGTCAAAAAAGGTGATCCTGCAAAAAGTGGCTGTGCAATCGCAGGTACACCTGGAATAGAAAAGTCATACTTTTTCTCTTTTATCTTAATTACAAATACTCTAATGCTACGATTGTATGGTACTATAATGAAAACATTTGCTACCAGTTTATGCCAGATGGCAATGTGTTAGAAGGCAACATTTATCAATTCGGCATAACACTTAAAAATCGCGATAACTTTCTGCTTGTGGATGCAGCTGATTTAAAGTTTTAATATAAAGCCTACGAGGTTTTATTTCACCTAAAATAGAAAGGATTAATGATCCTATTAACTGGCCTGGCTTTACGAAATTCTTTATGCCAATTTGGGATCAAGAAGAAATTATCACACTTTGGGCTCTTCAATATAAGAATATAAGAAATTATAAAAATGAAGAGTTTACATTTAGTTTACTTGAAACTCTTTTAGAAAAGTGGGGACCTATACTAAGATTAGTACTTTTAAAGTTGGATGATAATACTTATCAAAAAGGAGTATTAACAATTAATCAATAAAGCTAATTTTGATGATTGTGTAAATTCTATTGATAAGTCAGGAATGCCCACAGGTAGGGTTGGGGGCACAAGTAAAAAAATAGGCATGTCTTGGTAGGCATGCCTTGGCTTGAGGCATGCCTATACAAATCACATGTGATGTAAAATTAGCCAATCAAAATCGTTTAAAATTATGCCTTAAAAATTTAATAACTGACCAATCATGATCAAATTTTTTATATGATTTATTATAGAATGTTTATTGAAGATCAAAAGATTGACAGAAAAAAATTCACAGGCACATATTTTAAAATTCTACTATAGAGGATATGGTGACTTAGTAAAGTGGTTAAGTTGTCATCCCCCAAGTGGTAGATCTGGAGTTCAAATCCCACTGGCGATGAAAATTGAATTTCTAATTATGTTTTTGGTAACTATTTCTGGTGTTGGGCTATTTGGGCCTGTAACTTCGGTCATACTATATAGATTTGTGGGACGGCTTCATAGCACAAAGAATGTGGAAGCTTGCCGAATATATATAGTATTCATCTTAGGGGAACCCCAGGAGACGTACTCTAGGTTGAAGGAATATAGTTGGTAGACTGTGGTTTTTGGTACACAATAGGCTAGTCGGTATAAACACAAGATAAATCTATATATGGCAAGCATAGAAATCCAAAGAACTACTATATGGAGTAGAAACTTATTTGGCAAGTCCCAAATATGGTATTTATCCTAGGGAAAACCGAGGAGACGTACACTAGGTTAAAGAAATACAAGCTGGTAGACTGTAGTCCTTGGTACACAATAGGCTAATCAGTGTAAACATATGATAAATTCATATAAGGGCAAATGGACTTGTATCTAGAAATGGGACTAGATACTTGACAATCAAATTACCATACACAGTAATGTGTATAAATATATGAACAATTAAGCAATAATGCAAGTGATCAAAATTACATATACACAAACACAAACACAAAACCCCCAACTATATACATTCCCTTACATATATGAACAATAAACCTACTATAGAGTTCCTTCTATAAACATGTCTAAAATCCGAGGCAGGACGTTAAAGATCTGGGTAACCAGATCACGGGTGGTCCTCACAGTATCAGCCACCCCCGGTATATGGAAGAACCAATTATTAATGGTCAGACTCAATGCACAGAGCAGACTTTGGTTTCTTGCACAGCTGTAAAAGCCAGGCATACGGTGAGCGAATCTATAGAAGAAACTTAAAAGGTCTTAGCCTCCAATTCATCAAACCCTACTGTGACTCCTTCTCCAAACACCTTCCGTAATTTTCAAGCCCTTGTTGGTTGGTTTTGGACTAATACAATTTAATGTCAATTCCTCCATCAGATCTTTTAATGAAATTGTTAATTTCAAGAGTTTTATGTTCACCTCCTCGTAAAGCTAATAAAGTTGAATTAAAAAAAAAGATCTGCCACAACAATTCTTCGGGGCTATCGCATTGCATCATAGGGTGGTCAAGGATCTGTTCAACCTCATTCATCGTTAACCCATCCACCCCAGTTTTTTCACCAAAACCTCTCGCAGAAAGATTTTTCAGTTTTCCATTAATGACTTGATTTAAATTGAAGTACACCTTCGGATTGAGTATGTAACTAGTTTTTCTATAACAGAGTGCTGGTTAAGGTAATGCCATATTGCCACCAGGCAATTTCTTACTGAACTAGCGTGATATTTACCACCATTATGTCGCTTCATTGCACATATGAACTTAGACAATTGGTCTTCTAGGACCTTCTTAGAGTTCACTTCCTTAATTTTAACTTTGAATCTGATGTCAGAATGGAATTCTTCTAATAGATTTATCCACATATGTGTAACCGCATGAATGGCTTTCACTTTTCCATTTAAATAACAATAACCAAGAATAAGCAATCCAATTGCGTCACCCAACTTGGCAGATTTCTGACAATAAATGATTGCTTTATGTTCATCCTTTTCAACTCCAATTCCATTAAGATAACAATTACCAAGACTAAGCAATCCAAGAGCGTCACCCAAATTGGCAGATTTCTGATAATAATTGAATGCCTTATATTCATCCTTTTCAACTCCAATTCCTTTTAGATAACAATGTCCCACATTGAATGCTCCTTTAGCACAACCCATGTCAGCAGATTTTTGATAATAAATGAATGCCTTATGCTTATCTTTTTCAATTCCAAAACCGTGGAAATAACGATCACCTAGTATGAACATTTCATTGACATCTGTTTCATCAATAATGGGATAAATGAAAGCCTTATACTCATCCTTTTCAATTTCAAAACCGTGTAAACAACGTTGGCCTAGCTTGAACATTTCATCAACATCTGTTTGATGACAAATGGGTGCTCGTGAGACATCGCGATAGTTTATGATTAACAAATTGTCACTTTCTTGTTCATCTTTGAATTATTAGTTTATAATTGTTAAAGTTAGAATAATAATATCGAAAATATAACTATATTAATTAATAAGTATACATTATTGGGCAAAAATTGTTTAATAACGGCAATTTGCCCAATAATGGTGTTATCCGGCAATTATGATCATGGCCCCGATCCACCCCCCTATAAATATAAATTTAGATCTAAAAAAGAGATGGTAGATTAGTAAAAAAA